GCCCTGCTCTGAGCCTGACCAGGGGCTGCACCTAGGGATTGGGCGTGCCCTCTGCCACCTGGGAGCAGGCCTAAGCCAGCAGGTCGTTATCTCCTGAGGGGTCCCAGACTGCGAGAGGGCACAGGCCGGGCTGGGGGACCCCCCCCCAAGTGCACAAATTTTTGTGCACCGGGCCTCTAGTTACTTAATAAAAAGTTAAGCCCTGGCCAGTATGGCTCAATGGGTTGAGTGTCGTCCCATGCATCAGGAGGTTGCCAGTTAAATTTAGGGTTAGGGCACATGCCCAGGTTGTGGGCTCCATCCCTGGTGGGGGGCATGCTGGAAGCAGCCGATCGATCCATGTTGTGCTCACATTGATGTTTCTTTCTCTCTGTCCCTCTCCTTTTTCTAAAAATTAAAAGCATTTTTCATTTAGCCATTTTGGTATAAAACTGTTCTGTTAAAATGTCCTTCTTCGGTTTGGTGCATTGAAGGTACTCAATAAATGTTTGTGAACCTTATTTCTAAACCAAGGCCATGTTTTCAATCCTCCTTGTCCTCTTCCATAGTTTTGTATTTGGGCCCACAAATTACCCAAAGGATGGTTGACAAACTTAAGAATAGCACTGCAGATTTCAGTAAAATGAATCCTATTTTTGAAGGAAAATGAGGTCAAATAAAAACTTGATCAATGTAAGAAGTGCCTTTAAAATCTCCACACAACTTTCCAGTGTTCTAGTTTTTTATTCTGTCTCTACCATCATGTGAATTTGGCAAGCTGCATTACACGCTCCAGAATTCAGTTTCCTCTTTTTTAAAATTAAGGAATTGTATTTAATCTGTAAGGTTCATTTTGGACATTTTTATTTTAGCCCCTCATTCACTAATTAAATTACTTTTCTCAAGCACTGTAATGTAAAATAAAATTTTCCTCATTAACATTTTGTTACCAGTTTTTAAAAATAGTCTTGCATGTATTTTCATTGTGGCATAGATAGCATGACCTGACCTTTGGGAACACAACCTTTGATTTCAGCACTGTCAATGGGAGGTGACAGAAGATTAAACCACTTTGAAATTGCCAAGACCTGAACTCAATCTTGACTGACAAGTACTGGCTTAGTGACCAAAGGCAAATTATTTACTCTTACTAAGACTCAATTTCCTCATCTGTAATATGGAGATGATAATGTATTTATAAAGTTATTGTGAGCATTAAAGTAGATAATGGATGTAATTTGCCTAGCACAGAGTCTGGTTTATGGGGAACAATAAAAAGTACCTAATATTGTTGATATAAACTTTTTTCAAAATTGTTTTTTTTTTCAATTACCATTTACATTTAATGTTATTTTGTATTAGTTTCAGGTGTACAGCATTGTAGTTAGACAATCCCATACCCTACAAAGTGTTCCCCTGAAATTTCCAGCACCTGACCATGCTATTGACACTATTTCCTACCCTGTACTTTATTGATGTAACTAACCTCTTCTGTCATAAATCAGGGACTATTTCATTCAAATATTTATTAAGTAAATGAATGACCAGAATGTTTTCCTGATGGAAACTGACCTAAAATGTTTTTTTCTTCTTGCAGATCTTATATTGCACTTTAAACACACCTAAAGTTGACATGGAAAAACTCTTAGGATCACAAATAGGTCTTGAAGATTTCATATTTGCCCATGTGAAAGGGATCAAAAAAGAAGTGAATGTGTATAAATCTGAGGATTCACTTGGTCTCACCATTACAGATAATGGTATTGGCTCTGCTTTCATAAAGGTAAGTCTGAAAAAATTCCCGTGTGACCTGAGAGTAACACTGAAGAAAATCTACCAGGTCCAAGACAGTTGGAAATGAACTTCAGGGTGAGAGCCCTTTAAGAAGGGATGGATAGATTGGTAATGTTTCATTAAAAAATGTTTTAAAGACATCATTTTTTGTTTACCCTTTCCTTGAGTTTCTTCTGTTCAGTTTAAACTTCCTCTAGAATTTAGAACTTACTGAAAATCTGGCCCTGGTGCCTACTCATCCATATGAACTCTCTTAGGTCTGTAGTTCATTAACATCTGATGGTTTCCATGCGATTTCCTGATTTAGTGTTATTTCCAAGTGCATATACTTTTGGCCATCTTATTTACTTCTTTAAAAAAGCTCTTTAAACTTTTCTAAATGTTATAATTCTTTTATCAAAATAGAAAGAGAGCACTATGGAGCTGCAAAGGCAAGAGAAGGAAGTTTGAAATGGTATAAGAGTGGCAAAAAGAAAAGTAGATTCATCTCTTAAAAATAACAATTTATTATTGTAATAAGTAGTTGTAAGAACACTGACTTATCATGAACCTGGCACTTTGCATACGTTTTCTCATTTAATCCTTATAATAGTTCTATTTGGTTGGTACTGTGTTTTTCATTTTATTTACTTTTTTGTTGAGGTGTAACAAATTTTTAATGTACAGCTTAATGAATATTTATATACTTACTCATATGTAACCACCACCCAAATGAAGGAAAATTTAATTTCTACCACCCAGAAGGCTCCCTTGTGCCCCTTCCCAATCAGTATTTTTAGCTCTTCCCCACAAAGATAGCCACTCTTCTGACCTCTATCACCATATTTTGTTTTGCTTGTTCTTGAACATCATATAGGTAGCATATATTATGTACTCTACTGTTCCTGGCTTCTTTTGATCAACATAATGTCTGAGATTCATCCACGGGCACTGTTATCAACCTCTGTTTTACAGATGTAGAAAACAGGACCAGGAGGTTTAAGTAGCTTGCTCTAAGTTTTCCAGCTGGACAAATTCAGGATTTGATTCCAAGAGATCTGACTCCAGAGCTGGCAGTCCTCCTACCGAGCTAAGAATACATGATAAACTTCATGCAATAGAGCATGCTTCCATGCCTGTATTTTGTCAGAATCCTGGATTTGCTGATGCACTGTCATCATTAAAAAAATAGTCTTAGGGAAGTTATCTTCTTAATTGTAAATAGTACCTTATTTAACTTCCCGTTTGATAGAATGGCTATTTTTAGCTCTGCAAAAGATATGACAGTGCTGAAGGTTGAGTGGGTGACCAAATGGAAAATCGGTGAGTTGGAAAGTCATGTGGGATTATCTGGGGGAAGCTCAGGACATGGGGCACACGCAGCAATGCCTTTCTAATGTCAGCAGGGAAGGGCTTGGAAGTTTTGCAAACATGCGTGGATTTTTTTATATCTTCGCCTCTGATGTTCAGAGCTTGTGTTTCTATTTTTTATTTAATGCCTTGTCAAACACGTGCCTGCCTCAGAGCTCTAGTCACTGGCCCTGTAGAGACAGAGAACATGATGGCAAAAATAGGTGGTACATACACCAAACTGCTGACATATAGTTCAACTTACAAGAGAAATGAGTATTATACTGTGTACATGGTTGGTGGGATTTTCTAAAAATTGAGGGGGGATAATTTCAAACTTACTGAAAGAATGTAATAATAACATGAAGAACTCCTATAAAGCCCTTTACTCAGATCTCCAATTTTTACCGTATGCTACATTTGCTTTCTTCTTCTCTCTCTCACACATGTATTATATGTACAGGCACACTCATAGACATATATGTAATTTCCCTGAACCATTTGAAAAAGTGGATTGCATATGTCATCTCTTTATTCCTTAATACTTCAGAATGTAGTTACTGAGCACAATGATGTTCTCTTATATATAACTACTAGAGGCCTGGTACATGGAATTCATGCACAGGAGGGGGGGGGTGTCCCTCAGCGCGGCCTGCACCCTTTCTAATCTGGGACCCCTTGGGGGATGTCTGACAGTCGGACATGCCTTTCACAATCTGGGACCGGGGCGGCTTTGCCTGGGCCAAAGCCACAGGCACCCAGGACCAGGGGCAGGGCAGCTTTGCCAGGGCCCGGCTTTGTCAGGAAGGATGTCCGGAATGCCATCCAGAAGACATCTGGTCTAATTAGCATATTATCCTTTTATTGGTATAGATATTACAACTATGAAATTCAGGAAATCTGTCAGTGACAAATGCTTTTAAACTAATCTAATGTGTCCATATTGCAATTTTATCAGTTGTCCTAATAAATTCCTCTATAGTTCCCCCCCTCCCCCCGGTATAGGTCCAATATAGGATCATGGGTTTCATTTAGTTGTCATGTCTTTTTAGTCATCTTTATTCTAGAAAAGTTCCTCAGCCTTTTACATAATATCCCTCAATTTGGGCTTTTCTGATTTTTCCTCATGTTGCAAAGCAGGTTACCCATTTTTGGCAGGAAAATTAGATAAGTGATGTTGTGTCCTTCTCAGTGCACTACATCAGAAGGTGTGTTGCGTTGGTTTGTCTCATTTATGACGTTAATTTTTGTCACTTGTCTAAGTTAGGGTCTGCCAGCCTTACACACTGCAGAGTTAAATTTTCTTTTGCAGCAATTTGTAGGGAGATACTTTGAGATTATGAAAATATCCTGTTCTCTTACTTGTACCCCACAGATTTTGCATCTATTGGTAAGTTTTGCCTGAATCAGTCTTTACTATAATGGTTGCAAAATGGCAGTTTTTCTAATTTCATCATTCCTTATATATTTCTTTAAAACCTTCTTATTGAAAAAAAAACTCTCCACTTATTTTTTGGCTTATCTATTATCAGCATGAACAGGCGGTTTCTTATTTTATTCAGTGGGTTATGGTCCATTACTATTGTTTACTTTGATGCTGAAATCCTCTGAGAGTGGCCTGCAGGAAGCCCCTTCAGCTGCTCCTGTATCCTTTTGACATAGCTCCTGTCATTTTGGTGAGCAGTTCCTTCCTTTTGGCACAAGAGGTTCTAGTTTCATCTTATACATTCTTTCTCCCAGGTCTGGAATCAACCATTTCTGTAAGGAGCTCTTGTTTTTTTAGTGAGGACTGATATTTCAAAATCAAGATTGGATACTTGTTGTACTCATTCATTCAGTGTCACTGTTTCTAGGTCCTTTCAGGGGCAGGGTTAGAAAACATGCATTTTAGAATTTATAAATTTACTAGAGGCCCGATGCACGAAATTCGTGCAAGAGTAGGCCTTCGCTGCCTCGATCCGCCCCTTGCAGCTGAGGCAGCTGCCTCAATCCTCCCTCGCAGCCGCAGATGCCTCGACCCCTCTCTTGCAGCCACGGTGGCTGCAGCCCCAGCTTCGTCCTGGAAGGATGTCCAGTCTAATTAGCATATTACGCTTTTATTATTGTAGATTATTATACTTCCAATTATATTCCTGTCCCGCAGAGTTCTTCTAGGCTTCCCCATACTTTTCAAAATCATTGAAATACTTTCTCAGAATAGTTTTAGAATTGCTATATTCATACTCTGAAAAATAGGCCTATTAAGAAGAGTTTAGGATTTGTATGCATCTTTTGTCTTTAAACTAAATGGATGTATATAATCAAAGGATTCTATTCAAAAGTTTCTGGGAATTGGTTTTCTCCTGCTCCCACGGCCCACATAATTGTTATTCATTTGAAATACTGTTGATTCCAATTGCTTCTCTCAGTTGAGGTTGAGTTATTCCTCTCATTCTTGTTGACTTATTTTTTTTCTGAATATGTAAAATATTAACATGATTCAAAAGTCAAAACTATGTTAAAAGATATTCAGAGATGTGTTACTCTCCCCCCCACTCACCCCTTCTATCCCACTACTCATTTCCCCCACTCAGTAGAAGTAATCAATTTCATTAATTTCTGGCTCACGATTCCCGAGTTTATTTTTGCCAAGATAAGCAGGAAAAAAAGGGACTTTGCAAGAGTTAAGCATGGTCCCTGTGCAAGGATGATATGCAATCTTCTCTGTATAGTTCCAGTTTTAGTGTATGTGCTGCTGAAGTGAGTATTTGATATGCTTTTAGTGGTGGCTGGAAGTTGGGTAGGTTCAAGTCAGAATAGGAGAGTGTGGTAGGGCTTCAGACAAGGGGAAGGTCAGGAGGGAGGATTCCATGCCTAGGAAGGCAGTGTAGTATAATGCGTAGGAACATGACTTACAATCAGATAGGCCTGCTTTTAGTCTAGGTTTAACCACTCATTAACTTGCTGCGTGACCTTGGACAAGTCATTAAACCTCTCTATGCCTTCTCTCAAATGGGAATATTAACACCTACTTTATAGGATTATTTAGGTATAAAATGATGACACATATAAAATGTTTTACATACTTATAATTGACTAGAGGCCTGATGCATGAAAATCATGCAGGAGTAGGCCTTCCTTCCCCTTGCTGCTGGCACCGGCTTCTCTCTGGCACCCAGGACTTGGGCTTACCTGCGGCTGCCAGCAGGCACCCGAGACCCAGGCTTCCCTCACAGACCCAGCTTCGTTGGGAAGGTCGTCCGGAAGGACGTCTGGTCTAACTAGCATATTACCCTTCTATTATTATAGATAGCTAGTACCTGAATAATAGTAATAATAGCACATCATCACATAATTAAGAGATGAGATCAATGCAGATAAATATATTGAATAGTTCTGCATGGTCCAAACTCTTCAGGTGAAAAGACAACAGACTTAAACATTTATGATTTTAGTACTGAAGTCTCAACATTTCCCAGGAAAAATTATATATATATATTATATATGTATATATAATCAGTCAGAAAATTGAGTATATTTAAAGAACAAAATTTTTACATTCCTATAACATTTTAAGACTGGATTTGGCAAACATTTTCTATAAAGGGCCAGATAGTAAATATTTTAGGGTTCATTATAATTTAAGATCACACACTCTCTGTTGCAACTACTCAGCTCAGCCATTGCAGCACAGAAGCAGTTATATACAACACTTAAATGATGAGCATAGATGAATTCTAAATAAGTACAACCTTATCTATAGGCACTGTAATTTGAATTTAGTATAATTTTCACGTGTCACAACTATTCTCCCCACCCCCCAACCATTTAAAATGTAAAAATCACTCATATCTCATGAGCTATATAAAAACAAGTGGCTATATGAGCCATTGTTAGCTGCTTCCCTAGTTTAAGAGAAGACTTATACTTTGACTCAAAATAGAAATAAGGGCTTATACCAGGTGATTAAGGAATGAGGCTAAATTGACTTAAGAAAACTAAATTTATTTTGAATTAAGTGATTTATAAATAAACACAAAATGGTCATTATAGAATATCCTCTTGTAGAAATCTTTATGATTTGGGGTACTTTTACGTTAGTAGAATTAAGTCAAGCACATTTTATGCAGCATGATCATTATTTTGAGAAATATGGTACTTATATATTTCTAACTTTTTGATTACTTAATTATCCAGAACTAATAATCAGCAAGGTTGGAAACATGCAATTTCAAGGGGTCAGAGGGTTCTAGGATGGAAGTTAGAACCTGTGAGAAGAGGCATGTAAAGCCAGAAGAGAAGTAGTGATCTGAGGAATTAGCTAATGTTTGAGGTCCAGAAGCTGTGATATGGATGAAGAACAGCTTTAGAAGTGAGCAAAAGTAAAGTGGAAAGGTGGGGTTGTCAAAAAAGAGATTGCAGAGTTCAAAGGTGATAGGTCATTTTCTCCCCCAGCTTTATTGAGATATAATTGACATACATAACATTATGTAAGTTTAATATGCACAGCATATTGATTTGATACATTTATATATTGCCAAATGATTACAAAAGTGATAGATCATTTTGAACAGCTATAACCCAAAACTCTGCTCTTGGGGTCATCTCATCTGACTTTTTTTTTTAAACTAGATATTTGATCTTGGGTTAGTTAGATCTGTCTGATTCTTAGTGTTTTGTGGAAAGAGCATGGCATTTTATAGTTATACCACTTCCATTTGAAACCCAAATCTGCTGTTTATTAGCTGTGTTATTTTGGGTAAGCCATGTTTCATTGTGCTTTGATTTCCTCATCCACTAATGGGATATTAAATATTCCCCTCCTAGATTTGTTGAGAGGACTAAATGAAATAATTATTTACAAATGTGAGTAAGGTTTCAGGACAGTATTGGGAGGGTCAGCACAGATCTCAAAGTTGCTGACCATGGCGGTGGGACCTGCAGCTCAAACAACTTTGAATCTGGTGCTTAAGACTTTCAGGGGGTTGGGGGGTGGGCAGGAGGCCACCTTAGAGTTCTGCTGATACCTGTGATGAGAAGACAGAGTTCTGTAAATATATGGGGTGTAATAATGGAAGATACTATCATAATGTCTGAAATGGTTGGGAATCTCTAAGTTTAATAATGTTGTAAATTCCTATCTTCCAAAAATATATTTAATGTCTTTGCTTTTTTCAGCATCAACCTCCAAAGTCAGGTGAAGGAAAGTTCTGAGTGTTACAGTGAATGATATTAAGTGATGCAGTAAATATAAGCATAGAATTAATGCCTCTTTTTACCCCTTCCTAGTCCTTTGTGCCTGAGTAGCTCTTTTAGCAATATTATTAATCTTTATCAAATTATGGTTATGATTATCAAAGTATATTAGATTTCAGAAATTTGTCTCAATTGCCACTTCCTTCTTTATCTACTTAGGAAGCTAAGACTCAGGTACATATAATTAATGTCTCCCATTTTGCTTCTGTATCTGGTTCACCTTATGGTACTCTTACTCCAAGTTTCTTACGTTGACTTTCCTGTCTCTTCATCCCAGATCTGTATCTGCTGCCCGTGATGATTACATATGCTTTGACTTTTCTCTTGCTCACCTGGATTCTCACCTGCTGACTTCTGCCTCTCCTCCCTCTGTCTGGGCACTCTTCTGGTGGCTTCCGTGGCTACTCACAGGGCCAGGTGACCCTACATTTCTGTTACTCTGCCCTTTAATTTACCGGTAAGATTCATACAGGTCTTTAAAGAGTTTTATTTAGTCAGTTTTATATAACACTTATTTTTCACAAAATTATAACCATGTCTTAAATGAAAAATTATATGTAAAACTGAAAACTGTATGGTACAGTTGATTGAGAAAAATAGGTTCAGAATGTATCAAGAAATAACTTAGAATAAAAATTAAGAAAAAAGTCAAGAGTTACAGATTTTCACATTCTCTAGTGCTTTAAGAATGGTTAGGTGACAGAATATTAGGGATTTCTTTGGTTGAGAGTATTACAGATGTCCCCCATTTTCCCCTCTTTGACCCCCCTCCACCTGGCTCCCACCCCACCCCAGGCCTTTTACCTCACCATTGTCTGTGTTTATGGGCTATGGAGATTTTTTGTTTGTTTGATCTTTGGAGTCTAGTGTTCTGTTTAATCTGGCTTATGTTTCTGTGAGTAGTGTGTTGTAGTTACCCTTCTTTGTTTCCATAGCTTATAAGGCTAATGTGCACTTATAATAAAACAATGCCAGTTAGATTATGAAATTTCTGGTTTCTTTGCTTTATAATGAACTATTGTAATAATATTGATAAGTTCTGTTTGAATCAGCATTATTGTGTCATTGGCATAAAGCATAGTAACTATTACAATGAACATAGCAGTGCTTTTAAAATTTCAGGGTAAAAAAGAAACCTGGTGTGAGTTTTGGAATATTAGTAATAAAATTTAAAAATTAAAAATGCCCAACTTTCCCAGGTTAGTCTTTTACAACTTTTTTTCTTTTGGCAATATTATGGAGAAGCTGGGGTACATTAGATCAATTTCTCTCTTAACTATTGTACACAGTGATCCATTAGCCAGCTGATTCAGATGTTATTCTTTCACCTGGCAAGAGTGAAGAGAGGCCCAGTGCACAAAATTTGTACACTGGGGGGGAGGGGTCCCTCAGCCCGGCCTGTGCCCTCTCGCAGGGGAGCGGGCCTAAGCTGGCAGTCGGACATCCTTAGTGCTGCTGTGGAGGTGGGAGAGGCTCCCCCCACTGCCGCTGCGCTCACCAGCCTTGAGTCCGGCTTCTGGCTGAGCTGTGCTCCCCTATGGGAGCGCACTGACCACCAGGGGGCAGCTCCTGTGTTGAGTGTCTGCCCCCTGGTGGTCAGTGCATGTCTCAGTGACTGGTCGTTCTGCCGTTCGGTTGATTTGCATATTAGCCTATTATTATATAGGATATATACATGCACTTTCAAAATGAGCCAAAACCGGCTCTCCGACACTCCCCAAGGGCGCAGGCCAGGCCGAAGGACCCCACCGGTGCATGATTGGGGCCGGGGAGGGACACGGGAGTTTGGCCAGCTGGGGAGGGACCGCGGAAGGGCTCCAGGGCATGTCCGGCCCATCTTGCTCAGTCCCGATCAGCCAGACCCCAGCAGCAAGTTACCCTACCAGTCAGAGCGTCTGCCCCCTGGTGGTCAGTGCACGTCAAAGCGACTGGTCAACCGGTCAACTGTCTGCCCCCTCTTGACCAGTGCACATCATAGCGAGCGGTTGAGCAGCCTTAGCATATCATTAGCATATTATGCTTTGATTGGTTAAACAGATGACCGATCAACTGGACACTTAGCATATTAGGCTTTTATTATATAGGATAGAAGCAGCCCCTGGTATTCCTATCCTATTATTCCCAGGAAGGATTTGTGACACCTGAGGCTGATCGTGGCCTTCATTTTTCTCCATTCCTTACCTCTGTGGAGGAACTTGTCCATCCTTTGCAGGGTTGTCACTTGTACAGTTTTCTGGCGTTCCTAAAATTCCTTCAGAAATTCTTAGTGTTCTCTTAGGGAGTCTTAGTCCTCATTTTGAGGCTGTAGTATTGTATCTGGGTAAGATAGATTTAAGAATAATCAATTGAAATTTCTCATTGACTCCTAAGTTCTCACCTAAAACATATGTGGAAAATCCTATCTAATAAAGAGGGAATATGCAAATTGAACATCACACTGTCACAAAGATGGCGGCGCTCATAGCCATAATATGGTGGCGCCCAATCCCCTCAGCCCCGTCGGAGTCCCCAAGTCCTTTCAGCCATGTCAGGGCGGGGGAGGGTGGCAGGCACCTGGTGTGGCCAGACCCGCCCTCAGCCCCCCAGCCACCTAGGGTCGGCCCAAGGCGCAGGCAAGCCTTGGATGTCGGCTGCCCAGCTGATGCCTGAGGCGCAGGAAAGCCTCCGATGTTGGCTGCCCAGCCACCCAGGGCCGCCCTAGGCTCAGGTCACCAGGGCCTGCTGAGACTTGCGCTGCCAGCAGTGGCAGCAGCAGAGGTGTGATGGGGGTGTCGCCTTCCCCTGATCGCCCTAGGGTCGGCCCAAGGCGCAGGCAAACCTTGGATGTCGGCTGCCCAGCTGATGCCTGAGGCGCAGGAAAGCCTCCGATGTTGGCTGCCCAGCTACCCAGGGCCGCCCTAGGCTCAGGTCACCAGGGCCTGCCAAGACTTGCGCTGCCAGCAGTGGCAGCAGCAGAGGTGTGATGGGGGTGTCGCCTTCCCCTGATCGCCGGGTTGCCTCCCACCCTGAGGGCTTACGGACTGTGAGAGGGGGCAGGCCGGGCTGAGGGGCCCCTCCCCGTCCAGTGCATGAATTTTCATGCACCGGGCCTCTAGTGATGCTATAGAAATCATTTTTATTGGCTCCCCAAATGGTAAACACACCTGTCTTTTATTAAGTGTCAATTTTCTTAGCTAAGGTTGTATGAAGTCTTGAGTCACGGCATTTGTAGCGAAGGGTTAAAAAATATAGCCAGTAGAAAAAGCTCAAGTTCTGTTCTTATGTAATGGACTTCATGTTGAAATGATTTAATAATCATTTATGGAGGGACTCTTCTCTGCAGGCATTGTGCTAGCTACAGGGCTTACAATGGTGAATACGACCATCTCCATCCCCAAGGTAAATAAACAATTGCATGGTGGTTATGTTGAACTTGGCAAATTACTTGATCTCCCTAAGTCTCAATTTTCCTGAGACATGAGACTCTCATTAAGGTTGTTAAAATTAAATGAGATAGTAAATGTAAAGTGCTTAGCTTAGAGCTCAGCATATATAGCAAATAGTACTGCAGAAGCATGATGAGAGTGATACCTTACCTAATCTCGGGGGAGTGGGCTGGAGAAGATTTCACGAGGAGCTTCTCAGAGGAGGTGGTGACTGGGATGGAGCTGAATTCTGAATGATAAGGAAGAAGAAGAATGGGTGGAGGTAAGATGGTTGTCTTTTGTTGCTTGGTCTTCCATCTTTAACTGAGCATTAAATTGCATTGTTAATATGTTAATATATTGTATGTTATGTCTCAAGAACATGAAAAGTAATGTTAACAAAGTTCTATTTTACATTAAGCAATATCCTTAATTTTTTTTTCAGAGAATTAAAGAGGGCAGCATAATTGACTCAGTTAAAACAATCTGTGTGGGAGATCATATTGAATCCATAAATGGAGAAAATATTGTTGGGTGGCGTCATTTTGATGTTGCTAAGAAGTTAAAGGAATTAAAAAAAGAGGAACTCTTTACCATGAAGTTAATAGAACCTAAGAAGGCATTTGGTAAGTTGGTTTTATGTGTGTGTGTGTGTGTGTGAATATTCCTTACCCTGGACATCTTTCTTTTTTAAAATCACTTTATTACCACTATTTATATACTTTTCATACTTATACTTTTCTCTTTGTGCTGAATTGTTTTTTTCTTTTACATTTTCTATTTATAAGTGTTTTCAATTACCGTTTATATTTAATATTATTTTATATTAGTTTCAGATGTACAGTAGAGTGGTTAGATACTTGTCCCCCTGAAATTTCCAGTTTCCCTGACTTAACTCTCTAAGGGAAATGAGTACTGTGGTGTGGTGGCACGTGCTTCTGGTGTATCATTTAAGAACATAGGAAATAATAGATAGTACTACTTATAAGGAAAACAAACATTGAAGGACAAAAAAATGGCGTAGAAGGACATTCTCTAAAAAAGGCATCTGGAGTTACAGAGTCTTTGAGTTTGATGTGGTTGTTCCAAGCCAAGAACTGCACATTGTGTTGTGTTCATCTTCCTAAGCAGTTCGATTTTTATTAAGTTCTCTAAACTATATTAGCTGTCATTCCTGGACCGCAATAGCAAAAACTTTAGTTACACACAGAAGTGGTATTTAAAATAGTTGTCTAGTCTATTTTAAAGACTTTTCCTCCTTTGGCATTCTGAATTGGCAGGGTGGGATGGTATGAAATTACTTTGGTGTGACATCTGTACTTGCTTGGTTTTAGCCATGGCAGCTGTGTTCCAGCCCTTGTTCAAACCCCCAGGGCCATCTCATCTCCAGGAAAAGGTGCCAGCTTCTCTCAGTACCCAGCACTATTTTAATAAGCCGAGTGACGGCCTAGTGTTCATCAGTGTGAAAATATCTTCAGAATTATTCTGGGCCTGCCCTTACTCATCCATGACCCCACCCACTTGGTGTTCTTTCCTTTGCTCAGGGAACAGAAATATTCCTTGTGGCTTCTCTAATGGCTCTTTTCTCAGGGTAGTTAGTGACCATGATGGGAGGATGCAGTGGGTCTGGGGAATTACGCTTCTTCCTTGAGCAAGAAAGTGGCAGATCCTAGCCATATGGAATTGGAAAGTGTTTTCTGCTTCCATGTGATTCTGTGTCTTTTAATAGAAATACAGTATAGGTTATATTACTTGTGGGAGACAGAGTTCCAAGAAGATGTAAGGAAAGAATGCTGTATGCCGGTGCTGCTCTGGGGGGACCACTCTAGAAACCCGGCTATGGATAAGGTGATGCTGCGTGGTGCATTGCAGCATCTGAGCTCGCCTCTCACAGAGGAAGGTGGGCCAGCACTTGTTCCTTTTGAAGTGGCTTTGCTTGGTAACCAACTTCCCAGGTGTCACAGTACATAAATTGATAGCACGTAGACCAGGGGTCCTCAAACTACGGCCCGCGGGCCACATGCAAATACAAATATTGTATTTGTTCCCGTTTTGTTTTTTTACTTCAAAATAAGATATGTGCAGTGTGCATAGGAATTTGTTCATAGTTTTTTTTTAAACTATAGTCCGGCCCTCCAACGGTCTGAGGGACAGTGAACTGGCCCCCTGTTTAAAAAGTTTGAGGACCCCTGATGTAGACCTTGTGTGTTGCCAGGCATGACTTGGCCTCTGTCCTTCCCAGTTGGATGTTGGGCAACTTACTGAGCTTTAATTGTACTTTTCTAAAAATGGGGATAATATTGTCTGTCATTGGGAAACTTAGAATTGTACATAGCAAGTACAGTATAAGTATTAACTATATAATAATTACTATTGTTGGTATTTGGTTACTTTAGATACAAATGTTCCAAGCTATTTTTTTTTTTTTACCTCAACTAGTCACCACAATTTCAGTGTGCAAAAGGATGTTCAAAAATTAAAGCTGAGATATTTAACATACACTTAGCTATGCTGAAAGGTTAAAATGCAGTTAAAATTAGAGTACTCAGCAGGGCTGTATCATTGTGCACTGCAGCTGTCTTTCTTCCGGATTGAGTACACAACCCAGGCATATGCCATGACCAGGAATCGAGCCGTGGCATCCTGGTTCATAGGTCGATGCTCAACCACTGAGCCATGCTGGCTGGGCAGAAATAGTATTTGATTTAGACTCTGTAAATCAAAGTCATTCTCATAGTATAGCCCAAGGAATATAATTTTCTTTCCACATTTATCTCTGCCTCATATTATTCTTGTTTTTTAAAAAAATATATTTTATTGATTTTTTACAGAGAGGAAGGGAGAGAGATAGTTAGAAACATCGATGAGAGAGAAACATCGATCAGCTGCCTCCTGCACATCTCCCACTGGGGATGTGCCCGAAACCCAGGTACATGCCCTTGACTGGAATTGAACCTGGGACCCTTCAGTCCACAGGCCGACGCTCTATCCACTGAGCCAAACCGGTTTCGGCACACATTATTCTTGTTTTCCAGAGTTAACCTTTTCCTATGTTTTCTTTGTTGCCTCCTAAGAATTCCATGAACAGACTTGAGAAGAACACTGGGTACGATTTTCCTAAAGAAGGTATATTATTTCAACATCCTAAATTCTGCTGGTGCTGTGGGTTAGGATACCTGGAGGTTGATATTGGAGCAGTGACAGATTTTCATTTTCCAAGGCTTCTATGGCAGTTTATCTTAACACAACATAAGCCTGCTGGTTTACATGCATTTTCCACTCTGTGGGTTGGTCCTTGCCTCTGGGCCCCAGCCTGGGGACTTTTCTCTTAGATGTAGGCCTTACTGCACTGCCCATTCTTCAGCCCTTAATTTTGCAGTTTATCTTTTTGCCTCTGAGACAAAGGCAACACTAGTTTGTTCCACATCCTCTGGCTTCATCTCAGCACATTGCTCTTTGCCAGGGAGAGAGCATATATACATCTGGAGGTACTTGGTGACTGGGCTTCCCCTAATTCTCTTGGTCCTAATCTTACTTTTTGCTATGTTTTCTTCCTTCCTTTGTTTTTCTAGCGTTATCCTTGATGCATTGACTCAAATTTCATATTTTGTTTTTATTTTAAATAATTATTTGACTCTCTGCCATCTTGGATTTCTACCAGGAGAAAGGGCCAGTCTAGGTGAGGTAGAATTTTCTTTTTTCTGATTCAAATAGGCCATATTGGCTGAAGCTAAGTCATTTCTGGGATTTTACCAAAAGCTGAGAGAAATGGCCATACACTCCAGTATTTTACTACCAATTTCCCTAAAGATTTAGCCTCAGAAGCATGTGAACTGTGTGTCCCAAAATACAGGAGGGAGTAGTGTAGTTAACTGCCTTGTAGTGGAGTAACATGGATGATGAACACAACTCAGCTATGAAGAGGGGCATCCTTCCTACCTGCTCCTGTTTCCATAATTAGGTCTACCACTAGTCATATCCCACTTCTAGGGGCCATTATATGTGTCAAGATTTTAAAAAAATATATATTTTATTGATTTTTTACAGAGACGAAGGGAGAGGGATAGAGAGTTAGAAACATCGATGAGAGAGAAACATCAATCAGCTGCCTCCTGCACACTCCCTACTGGGGATATGCCCGCAACCAAGGTACATGCCCTTGACCGGAATCGAACCTGGAACCCTTCAGTCTGCAGGCCGACGCTCTATCCACTGAGCCAAACTGGTTAGGGCTGAGCTGAATCTTAAAAGAGGCTTGCTCAATGAACAAATTAGGGAAGGTTGTCCTAGGGAGTAGGAACAGAATAAGCAAATATGCAAAGGTCTGGAGCAGTATTATATATCTGGGAATATGATGATGCATGTCAATGTGATTGGAATACAGGTTATAGGTGGTGGTGTGGCAAGAAATGAAGCTCAAGAGTCAGTGGGCCCCTTATTATCAAGGGCCTTATTATGAAGACTAGAGGCCCCATGCACAAAATTTGTGCATGAGTAGGCCTTTGCAGCCCCACCTTCGTCCAGAAGGTTGTCTGGAAGGTCATCCGGAAGGTCATCGGAGGGTCATTAAGCTGTTTGGCTGTTAGGTTGATTTGCATATTATGCTTTTATTATTATAGATAAAGAGTAGGCAATGGAAAACTAGTGAAGGATTTTAGGTAGGGGAGTAACATGATGAGACTTGGATTTTAGAAAGATTTTTTGAAGACTATGTCAGACTGTGGGATGGGCTATGAGTTAGAGATTAGGAAATTCATAAAGATTCAGTTGTGTTACTTGAGGAGAAGAAAATGAAATTATGAACTTAGACATGGAAATAAGAAATGGTTCGGAGGAATAGGCAATGGTTTGCTGGAGCCATTTGTGCATAACTCTTTTCAGCTTCATGTTCAATGACATCAAGTTAGTTGTTTGAAATTGGCTCTGGTGGGGTGTTTACATCACAGAAATGAGCAAGTGCTGTAAATTGGAGCTTGGTAGCCTGGAGAGGTGATTGTTAAATATTTACCTGCATACCACTCGATGTTAAGAAGGTAGAATTAGTTACCCATTGGAAGTAGAGGTAAAGGAAAAGAAATTGCAAATGATGACTCACAGATTTTTTGCTTGTGTGGGGGACTGAGTGTGGTGCTATTCTTTGAAATGAGGAATTCTTTTAAAAAAGATTTGAGTGAGGAGATAGAGAAGAGGTTAAACTTATAGTACAATTTTGGACCTTAAGAATTTGAAATCTGTGGGGCAATTCAGTTGGAAATGTGCAAGAGGTAGAGGGATGTTGAGAACAGGGGTCTAGGGAATGGGATTTATGAGTACAGTTGTATTCTGTTTAACAACAGGGATACATTTTGAGAAGCGTTATTAGGCGACTTTGTGGTTGTGCTAACATCGGAGTGCACTTGCACAAATGTAGATGGTATAGCCTACTACACACCTAAGCTACATGTTATGGCCTATTTCTCTATAGGCGAGGAAAAATAAATTCTCCTTTACTCTTTGAGTTGTTGGGTTTTAGGTAGGGGGCCTTGATTACCCCTCAGGAGCAGGGGGAGGTGGAGAAGCTCTGAGGGCCAATTGGGGCCAGCAGCCGCCACTTGCACCTGCTGATGGCACCAGCAGCAGGTGCGAG